CTTTCCAAGTCTACTGCCAATGCTCTTGTATAAGCCCAGATTAATAAACTTCTAAACTATTGCCACTACTCTTTCCCTGAAAAAAATCTTTACCATTATCAGGTTACTTTCCTTAAACTTCTCTCCATGCATGTCATTCCCTCTCTCAAACACTTTGCTGGTCTTCTCTCCCCTGTCTTCCTGTAACTCACCGTCTCACATCAGTGTACTTTTCTAGTCTTAAATCCCACTAGTAATCTACATGAGGGCTTTCCAAGTGGCTCAGTGGTAAAGAATCTGCCTGCCAATTCAGGAGATGTGGGTTCAATCCCTGGGCCAGGAAGATCCCCTAAAGAAGGAAATGGAAACCCACTCCAGTGTTCTTACCTGGGAAATCCCATGGACAGAGGAGCCTGGTGGGCTACAGTCCATGGGGTCACAAAGAGTTGGACACAACTCAGCAACTAGAACAATGTAAATGAACAGTGACATATACTAATTAATCACAATGTCCCAAACACTGTTCTAGGTACTGAAATGCAAATCATCCTACTTCCATGGAATTTTGTCAAATAGGAAGAGAAAGACAATAACCAAACACACAAAATAAGTAAATTATGTAGTATATTAGAAAGTAATCAGTGCAAGGGAGGGTTAGGGAAAAAAGATGGGGTGTGTCAAAGAAGTCTCTAGTTATAAATGAGTGATCAGGGCAGGTCTCATCAAGTATGCAACATCTGAGGAAAGACTTGACAAGAATGTTGGAGTACTGTCTAGAAGAATACACAGAATAAATAACTACAGGAAAAATATTTGTAACAGAAGGAACAGCAACTGCAAAGATCTTTAGGATGAGGAGAAGATAAATGTGGCTGCCATGGGAATGAATGAGTTGGAGACTGAAACGAAACGAGGTAGAGAGATAATGGAAGGCAGACAATAGGGTCTTCCAGGCCATTATAAAGAACCCTCAACTCCAACCAAACTGGCCACCACTTATTTTTCCTCCATGTACATAACCACTCTTATTGCCACAGGTTTGTCTCTCTTGCCTGGGGAGATTTTCCTGCTCATCCAGAGCCTATCAGGCCCAGATTATCTCTCCCTCCCTTTACTCTGGCAGCCCGCAGTGACTGTTCACACTTTATCACACAGTCGACACTCGACACATTTGTCTTTTTCACCGTCTCCCGAACTCGTCAATGTCTTTGTAGTGATATTCCATCTTGAGGATGATGATAATCATCACGTTAATTCATAATGATGATCGTGACTCTGCTTACAGCTTTGAGCGACAATAATGTTTTCTCTTGTCCCTCTGCCCCACCAGTGAAAGGTGAAGCTATCCACATGATTAGAGTTAACATATGCAAAGCATCTAACACCTAAAAGACACTCAATAAAAAGCAAATTTTATAACTCATACCCTAAAATGAATTGCTCCTATCAATGTTGTATCTAACCGGCAAGTGAAGAAGGCCAATTATTTCATCATCAAAAGGATCTACTAAACACGAGCAATTATTGACCAACTCATGGTGATTACTTTCTCCTACTCTCTACATGTCTGAACCACTTAGGTCTCTCTCAATCAAGTGCAGTCTTGGTACATCTCCTCCATTTTTAATTTACCCTATTTTGTTTTTATAAATTTATCTCTTGTCTTCTCAACCAAATGGCAATCTTAAGGCAAAATCCTGTGTCTCATGCATCCTTGCACCCAGTTCACCACTTCACAGCACAAATACTGCAGAAAGGGTGGGTCAAGAGGGAAGGTACTCTTTCTCCACATATTTTCCTGTTTGTCACACACAAACTTCTCTGTTAAGCAGTAGCCATTTCAGTGTACTCTGAAGCATGGTAAAATTTAGGCACGGACTTAGTTTCAGTGCTCTGATCACCTGGTGATGTCAGTCCTCCTACTTAAGCCAAAGCTGGCTTCCTGCCAGGCAGGTCTCTGCAAGAACAGGCAGGTTCATGACCTTTTTTTGAAGCAGTGTCTGTCCTGCCTTAAGCTAGCTGATGGAAAGAAGAACAAATCCTCATTTCTGTAGAGCAGTTCCTCCTTCTGTAGAACAATTCCTCATTCCTCACCTCTTTTGGAAGGTGGGACAAGCAAGTGCCAAGATTTTTCGAAACAGCAAGAACAAACAAATGTCCAGCTTTCCGATGAACCAAGAAAGAGAATTTCTTTATCTCAGACCCTTAGCACAATCTTGCTAAAAACGTACTATAGAGATTGTTGTTTCCAACAGAGAAAACTAAGGCAGAGAGAAGTAAGCACCTGGGCAATGGGTCTTCCCTGGTGGCTCAGGAACCTGCCTGCCAATGCAGGAGACACAGGGTCGATCCCCAGTCCGGGAAGATCTCACATGCCCTGGAGCAACTAAGCCGGCATACCGCAACAGCGAAGCCTGTGCTCCAGGACCCTGGAGTTAAAACTACTGAGCCAAGCACCCTCGAGGCCGTGCTCTGCGGTGAGAGGCTGCTGCAGTGAGAAACCTGTGCACACGATGAGAGAGGGCCCAGCTGCTCGCAACTAGAGAGAAGCTCGGGCAACAGAGAAGACCCAGCACAGCCAAGAGGAAACAGATAATAGATAATGAGTTTTTTAAAAGAAGCTCTCGTCAAGAGCATCCAGTGAGGAGCCTGCAGCAGACGACCGCCGCGGGGACCCTGATAGGCGTTTCTCCTGTGCGCGGGACAGACGCGGAGACAGCACATGAACAACACACCAGGAGGATTGAAAAAGTGCATTTTGCTAAAATGAGGCACATTCTACTCCCTGAAATTGCAGAAACTTGCAGTTTATGATAAGAATAACTTTCCAATGATTTTAAATCAATTTCCCTAAATTAATAACAGACCTTCAAATCTCTAGCTAATCAACATACAGAATTCAGTTATTAAAGAAAATTAGGAGAGAAAACAACTCTCTTTTCAGACACCTTGGCCTTTGATGGTTTTTCAAGTTGGTAAATTAGCTAGCAGCTAATTACTCTATACATTTTCTCTGTTAGCCTCGTTGTCTGACTTAACCATTCTCCAAACGGCTGACAAAGAGCAATCATTCGTGGGATTTACAAGAGGCTGGTGAGTATATATTGTGCTATTAATGATGATAGCATCACTCCCCTTATTTTGGGAAACTTCTCTTAACTCAGTTATTCCAGTGAGAAGCTTTTACCCCACAGCCCTACCAACCGTGTGAGATGAGCTGATTTCATCAGAGTCCCATGACTGTTGGCCCCAGTTTCAGAGCACAGGGTAGAAGCTGTCCCAGACAACTCTGAGAGAAACAGGAACAGATGAGGGCAGCTTTTAGACTCCAAGACAACAGCTGTCCTTCCCACTGTTCATGTAAATCAGCCAGCAAATTGCCTTTTTTTTGGTCTGAGGTAGTTTCAGTTGTGTCTGAGTATTGTTGAGTTGAGTGTGTGCTAAGTCGTGTCAGACTCTCTGAGACCCCATTGCTATAGCCACCAGGCTCCTCCGTCCATGGGTTTTCCAGGGAAGGATCCTGGAGTGGGTTGTCATTTCCTACTCCAGGGGATCTTCCTGACTCAGGAAGATCGAACCTCTGTTTCCTGCATCTTCTGCATTTGCAGGTGGATTCTTTACCACTGAGCCATCTGGGAAACTCTTGCAAATAAAAGAATGGAAACTTTTTTACCAAAAAATGCTTTAAATCATAATTACAATTTCCTTGAAGATGTGAATCTTCTGTATATTTTCATTATTTTGTATTGGAGTACTGCCTGTCATGATAGTTCAAGTGAACAGCAAAGGGACTCTGCCATACATATACAAGTATCCATTCTCCCCCATACTTCACCCCCATCCAGGCTGCCATGTAACTCTGAGCAGAGTTCCATGCACTGTACAGTAGGGCCTTGCTGGTTATCCATTCTAAATATATCAGTCTGTCCATGTCCATCCCAAACTCCCCAACTATCCCTCCCCCCATCCTTCCCTCCAGCGACCATAAGTTCCTTTTCTAAGTCTGTGAGTCTGTTTCTGTTTTGTAAGTTCATTTGTATCATTTCTTTTTAGATTCCCCATATAAGGAATGTCATGCAATAGTTCTCCTCTACCTGACTTAATTCACTCAGTATGGCAATCCCTAGGGCCATCCATGTTGCTGTACATGGCATTATTTCATTTTTTTAATGGCAAAGCAATTGCTTTTTAAAAAGTGCTGGTTGGTTTTCAGGTGTTTTTTTTTTTTTTTTTTTTTAAGGTTAATCATTTGAGGCCTCGAGGCAGACTAGTGCAGACTTAGAGGAACAGGGGATATTTTTGTTCAGGAGAAAGATGATGTGTCCCTCAACTCATTCTGCACAAACAAGTTTTTAGGCACAGTAGTCCTGGCCCTCAATGGAAAATGCCAGACCTCACCAAATACAACTTACACTCACAAATCATAATCTTATAAATAACAAGCTTAAGTATTATTAAATGGGTATAAACTTTTTCTTTTTAAATGAAACTGGCTGAGGTCACAATGTCTTTACTAATTTGAGCATAGATATTTAGGTATTAATTAAGGACTTGTTCTATACAGTAAATAAATATGGTTTTTGTATGATTTCTCTAACTAGGAATACACAGTCTGATGAACTGATGACCAGGAAACAGTCTCACTGGATCAAAACCTGAAGAAGTCAGTGACCACTGGCCAAAACGTGTTTACAGAGGCCATTTATGGACAGGATTTAGCTCCGAATCAACATCCTCAGCATCTGACCTTTATTCTTTCCTCATTTCAAAGGCCTGTATCCAGTACTTGGCTTCTTGGCTCATCACCAAAGGCATGATGATGATTTTCCAGAAGATTAACATTAGCCAAGCAAACACATGTGCTTTGCAGAATGCAAAAGGCTAAGAGTTAGGCATTCCAATTTATAAATTTGCTGAGAGTTTCCAGAACTACTTTAAAAGACATAACCTCAGCCTCACAACACTTACGGGCAAACAGAGGAGATTAGACAAGAAGATATCTACTTCTTGTCTACCAGAAAATGAAAGCACAAACGTGTACTGATGGGGAAGGTGGGGTGGGAATTGAGTGGACAGGCATGAGGGTATGCTGTACAGTAACCATCCTTTCTGAGCAATCACTGGATGGCGAGCGCTATATGTCTCAACAGCTCTGCAGTGTATGTACAGTTGCCCTCACAGAGCCGAAGGAAACGCTGAGTGTCGCTCAGGTTCAGCGACGGAGCAGAGGCCGTGCAATTAGGAAGTGGCAGGGCTGGGATTCAGTCCAAATACAGCCCAGCTTTCAGTCCGTTTTTAATTTCTCTATTCCCTGCCCTTGGAACAGACAGCTGTAATTCCTTCTCTTGACCCCCGTGGTTTCAGTGTTCCACTTCAGATCTATCAATATATAATTTTAAAGGCTGGCTACTTCTTATTCATCACACTCCTCTGTAATCCCAAATGTTTTCTAATTGAGCATAAATCCCTTCTACTCTGTCTCAGAGATATCTCATCAGCATAGAAAGGGAATGGATTAAAGGAAGATAACTTGAAGTCCATTATTCTTTAGTCTTCACCCTTTCATTCCACCATATACATTCACAAACATATACAAATCAGGGTCATGCCCGTCACCTCAAATGGTAGGACAACTTTTAGCTTAAGGAGACACATCTAGAATAGCTCATTCAGTGGCCGTTACAGCTCCATCAGTCAAAGTTCCGAGGGACTTGGGACCTCGGACCAGGCACCCTTCAAGGTCAGAAGCCCGGCTCCAACAGAACAAGGAGATGGACTACAGTGTAGTTTAACTCACTGTGGCCTCCTTGACCAATGACCCTCCCAACTGTCCATCACCTTGGTGCTTGAGAGTGCAAATAGAAGGCGCTTGATATATAGGTGGGGAACGGATGAAAGAATTCAAGAGTGATCTAAACTTTCCTTGAGCCCATGCTGCAGAGTGTCAACAGGAAACACATGCCCCATTCCAAGCGTTTAACTCTTAGATATAACTCAGAGTACCAGACACGTAGGTACCCAAGTACCTATGTGGGGAGCTGCTACCACTCATAGGCTGAAGGCGAGGGAAGAAATGATGTTCCCAGAGTCCAGGGAGAGGGGAAGCCAGGAGAGGGGCCCCTTCACAGCATGAGATGTATCCCACCTGCACCGCCCATCATTCAGGAAGCAGAAGCCAGAGAGGAAGGGTGTCCAAGTGACGCCATCCATAGTAGTCAGGCTTTCAGGGCACAGCAGAGAAGGAAACAGACAGGATCTAGGGAAACATGCTGGGAGCCTGGGGGGCGGCGGGGGGCGGGGGGATGAGTATAGAATGCCCACATACCCAGTGATGTGTTCAGGGGAGGGAGGTCCTTATTTTATTATCTAAGACAAAAGATATTTTCACAGAATAATAAAATTTCAGACTATCTTCACAAGATGGGACTCCTAACTTTTTTTCTACTATCCTCAGATAAACCTCACTATGACATTGTATTTAGAGGTAATATAGGTAAATATAGGTAAATATAGGTCAGGGGGCTTCCTTGATGGCTTGGATGGTAAAAATTCTGCCTGAAATGCAGCCTTCAATGCAAGAAACCTAGGTTCGACTCCTGGGTTGGAAAGATCCTCTGGAGAAGGAAATGGCAACCTACTCCAGTATTTGCCATGGAGTAGCATGGACAGCGGAACCTGGTGGGCTACAGTCCAAGGGGTCACAGAAGGGTTGGACACAGCCAAGCGATTAACACGTTCACTTTCAAATATAGTCCAGAGAGAGCCTAGGGCAGCTGGTGTAGGTCACTATACTTGCTCACTCTCCTCACTGTCCCCCCTGTAGAAGACAGCTGCCCTTCTAAGGGAAAGCAGCGAGCAGTGTGGAAAGGGGTGTGCAAAGAGAAAGAGGTCTCAAGTCAGAGAGAGATTTTCAAGATGTGTAAGCAGTTGACAAAATGATATGTATCAAATGACACTGAAATTCTCCCACACCAGCCTACTAGATAGCTGATATTTCTCCCACCTACTCCGTCTTTTTTTTTTATTTTACTGAAGCATAGTTGATTTACAATGCTGTACTACTTTCTGTTATACAACAAAATGATTCAGTCATACATAAATATATTCTTTTCCATTATGATTTATCACAGGATATCAAGTGTAGTTCCCTGTGCTATCCGTTCTATATATTTAGACTGCATCTGCTAGCCCCACCTAGTCTGTCAGTTCAGTTCAGTTGCTCAGTCGTGTCCGACTCTCTGCGACCCCATGAACTGCAGGACACCAGGCCTCCCTGTCCATCACCAACTCCCGGGGTTTACCCAAACTCATGTCTATGTAGTCGGTGATGCCATCCAACCATCTCATCCTCTCATCCCCTTCTCCTCCCACCTTCAATCTTTCCCAGTGTCAGGGTCTTTTCCAACAAATCAGTTCTTCACATCAGTGACCAAAGTATTGGAGTTTCAGCTTCAGCATCAGTCCTTCTGAGGAATATGCAGGACTGATTTCCTTTAGGACTGACTGGTTTGATCTCCTTTATTCTGTCTTTAAGATCCTTTTAACTACAACTCAATAGTATTAAGAACAAGGCATCAAATGACAAATAATGAAGACATGATCAATTAGCTCACTGATATGCAGGAACCCAACACTGCATGATAGCAGGTTTGACCAGAGTTTGATTTTGACAAGTCTATTTTAATCATATAGGAGGCTCAGGTGAGTAGTCTCAAGAGAAGATAACTGACACAAATATCATGTAGTAAACTGGAAAGGAAAGTTAATTTTTTTAGTTCTCTGACAATATTTCTTAGTTTATTTTTCTCAGATGGTTTCCCCCAAATCAAGTCAGTTTTCAGACCTGTAATGGCATATAAAAGTCTATTCTTCTGACCTTAAGTCTTTTTTTTAAAGACTAGACCAGTCATTATCTTAAGTCCATGTACCTATAGCACTGCCAACGATAGTCTTTTATCCATGGAGACAGAACTGAGTTTCAGTGTCCCAGGGAAAAATCTGAAATCACAGTCTTAAACCAGGCTCAGAGTTGAAGGTTCCTACTCCAGTGCTAAGTCGGAATCGCATCTCTTCAAGACATCTGTCTGAACCCCAGGTCACAGGGCCATCTGCTCTCTCCCCACGGACCCACCAAGTCAGCGCACAGCCCTGCAACTCCCCTACGGAGTCCCTATCGGGGCAACAGCGCAGCCTCTAGATAATTCCTGTTCATGACAGAGACAAATTCTTGCCTAACAAATCTGAAAAATTTTGTGTTTGGAAAGCACATACACTCTGCCCTCCACAAAGATGATGAACTGACAAAAGGCTTCAGCGGCTAGAATAAGACGGCACCAAGACTCCTGCAGCAAGCAAGGACCAGGGCAGCAAGCGGGGACCCAGCCCGGGGCGGGAGCTCAGAGGGACGCAGCAGCGGTCCTGGATCGCCACACTCTGGGGGCACTCTTCCCGAGAGGCAGGCCTCCTAGTCCCTCTTCTCTGGAGTTGACGCAGTACGGATGATGAGGGGCTGAGACAGCCGCAATGCTGATGAGGGCTGAAACACGCCGTCTCCCACGATGTCCGCCCAGCCCAAGGATCTCCGTGTCCAAACGGACATGCCTCAGACGTGTCCGACCGGAAGTTAGGAATGCACAGTTACGTCTATATTTCAAACCACTCTGCCTCTGCTCATGCAACTGAAAATTCCACTACCGATCTGACAATCTGTAAATTCACATCAACTTTCCTCCCACCCAATCAAATTCCCATAGTTCAACCAGAACTACTGCTTTCAAAACAGTTCTTCATGACAGCATCAAGGAGTTACATAATTCTGTTATATTTTAGAAAAGAAGAAAAGAAAGAGAAATATACAATACGAGGAAAGGGGGAAGTGGCAACACAAGAGAAAAATTAACAACTTCCTTTTCATACAGGCTCAACACAAAGCTTTATTCACCTTGACTCATAAACAACTTTGCAGAGGATATGAGTTTTGCCTTATTAGATGCAGTTCCATAAGCCAACGTCTACTTTCACTATTGCCCAACCAGTCAATATGGAAATCTGAAAATATATCCTGAAGACTGTTGGAAAACTAGAAAATCAAAATATGTATCTGTTCAATAAAATTTACACATAATTTCCTGGCTTACCATAGATATAAAGGAAGAATTCTCCTGGAGGCATTGGAGAAGAGAAACTTCAGAGGAAGTATCATTCTCTTCAAATATTCAAATGCTGTCATGAGGTAGAATATATAGACCCATTCTATGCAGGTGCAGAGGCAGAATTATAAACAAGTAAATTCTGCTGAAACACAGAAAATTTTTTTACATTTCAAACTATTCAAAATGGAGCTGGTGACTGAACTCTCCACCACTGGAAGTATGAAACAGAGCCTTGATATGAAGAATCAGGTAACAAAGATTCCTGCCCATGTAGAAGCTCATGAAAAACTAGACTTAAGCCTTTCTCCCACCCTGCCATAGCCAATAGTCTCAGGATTTATCTACTCAGATTTGCAGTCTTAAGGAGGTGTGTGTGTGTGTGTGTGTGTGTGTGTGTGTGTGTCTGTGTGTAACACTATAGGTACATAACAAAACTATGAACAAGGTAACCTACCTCCACACGCCCAAAGCCTTCCCTGTTATTAATATCCTGAACCAGAGTGGGGACTTGTTACAGTTGATGTACCTATACCATAACCACCTGAAGTGCATAGCTTATATCACTAATTATACGGATTTGGACCAACATATAGTGACATGCACCCATCATTATGGTATCATAGAGTGTGTTCACTGCCCCCCAAAGCACTTGTACCCCATTCGTCCCTCACCTCTCACACCCACCCCGGGCAACCACTGACCATTTTACTGTCTCCGTAATTTTGCCTTTTCCAGAATGTCATATAGTCTTTTCATTCATCTATGTGTGCGCATGTGTGCATGTGCACACTCAGTTGCTCAGTCATGTACAACTCTTTGCAACCCCATGAACTGTAGCCCATGAGGCTCCTCTGTCCATGGAATTTTCCAGGCAAGAATACTGGAGTAGGTTTTCATTTCCTTCTCCAGGGGATCTTCCCGACCCAGGGATCAAACTCGCATCTCTTGTGAGTCTGCATTGGCAAGCAGATTCTTTACCCTTGGAAAGCCCTTTCATTCACCTAAGGCTATACATTTAAAGTTTCTGCACATCTTTATGTGGCTTGAAAACTCTTCCCTTGAGCACTGAATAATATAGCACTGCCTGAATGTGCCACAGTTAATTTTCCATTCATCTACAGATGGACATCTAGGTTGCTTCTGAGTCTTGGCAATTAAAAATAAATCTGCTATAAGCATTCATG